TACAGATTTTTTTTCTGTTTAGCATAAAAGTTTTTTTAAATGATAATGCAGTGGTGAGAATGTCCAGTAAAAGTGTAAACTATACGTTCTTTTGTTGAAGGACAGTTTGGCAGTACTAATATTTGCAAAAAAGTTTAAAATGTACTCGCTCTGGTCTAGCACTGTCACGTAGAGGAATCTACCCTCCAGAAGTAGAGATAGATTGCTAAGAAGGCCCTAGAAGACATCTCCAAGGAGGCAGTGGTTGAGCTAAGTGTTGAGAAATGAGTAGAAGCCTCCTAAGCAAAAAAATGGAAAAGGTTATCCCAGGCCAAAGAACCAGTATAAGCAAAGCTGCAGAGCCATGACAGAGCAGTGCTTATTAAATAAAGAAGCTGAAAGTAGTTTATTTTGATTAAAGCATAACTGGAGGCAGCTAGAAGGATAATGTCTGGATCACAGAAGATGTTAGGAAACATGCTGACTTTGGATTTTATCTAAAGAAAGATGATCCATGACAGAGCAGTGCTTATTAAATAAAGAAGCTGAAAGTAGTTTATTTTGATTAAAGCATAGCTGGAGGCAGCTAGAAGGATAATGTCTGGATCACAGAAGATGTTGGGAAACATGCTGACTTTGGATTTTATCTAAAGAAAGATGATGAGATTTGTATTTCTAAAATGTGTACAAATGCTTATTTGCCTGTCTTCATTTTGAAAGTAATAGCAATTTTTATGTGCTTTACAAGGATTAATTCATTTATAAGTTTGTTAAACTATGGAGTGGTTACTGTTATTTTCTCCATTTTGCAGTTGAGGAAACTAAGGCACGGAGAAGTTAAATAATTTGCTAAAGGTGGCTCAGTTAGTGGCAGAACTGAAGTATAAACCCGGAAGGTCTGGATCTAAAGCCCTTGCCCTTTTCCACTATACTGTACTATTTTTGTGTTTCTTTAAGAACATGTATGCTTTTTTACGAAAGGGGAATCCTTGTAACTTTTCCATGTAATTTCTCCCATGCCACCTACCAACCAAGATAGAATTTTCTTTGACCTTACAAATAGAATCAATCAGCAGTTCAACAGTCTGCCTGTCTTTTCTCCACTCCCTGCAAATTCACTTCCCTCTTACCATTCATCCCCTTCTTAGCCCTTTTAGTCTTGAGCCCTGTCTCTCTCCTCCCTTTTCTGGATGGGGCTATAAACCCATTTGGCCTCCAGGGTACCCAGGATAGCCCCAGCCATGACAGAGATCAGACAGGAGTTTTCCAAACCTGTTCCTTCTAGAATCAAAGGGGCACATACCACAAATCTCAAAAAAAAAAAAAAAAAAATGGGGGAGGAGATAAAGTATTCAATATGATCATCTTGCAAATAATAGTGACTGTTATTCAGTCCACAAGTATTTACTGAACATCCTTTTTTATTGTTCCTGGAATTGTGTAGGGAGGCAGAGGTTGGGTAGGGGAGGTAGAGATGGCTGCAAAAAGGCATGTGGCCCATCCATCATCAGTGATCTTTCAGTCTTAAGCTTTCATTCAGGCTAGTATTTCATGACTAGTATTGTGTCCAAAATGACAGCATGATTTTTATTAAATATATGAGGCGATGTCGTTTAAAGGAAAGCATTGTATACCTAAATCCCACCTCATGATTTTACATTGACCACACTGTAGGTCCTGTACACCTGCCTCAGGGAACCTCTAATTCATGCCACACTGGTATTTAGGTGAATTAAATGCTTAAACTCTTCTAACCCTGTTCTGTATAAGTAAGAACACGTACCTCTTTTCAAAAAAATTCAAATAATTATTAAACAAAAGCAGGAATGTAGGAGAATTTGTTTTCAATTGACTTACCCACTTACAAGTTTTGTGGCTTTTCTTTAGTAAAGAGGAGGAAAAGTGACATGATAATCTCAAAGATTAATAAAGATTTGGGAAAGTAGTAACAATTTAGAAACCCAAATGATGGGAAATATTTTCTTCTTTTTCAGAAAGAAATTATTAGAAAAATAATTTATATCTGGAGACAGTTATTTCATCCGTGGTATATGTGAATCCATGAAATATGAAACCTGGTAACAAGATTCCACCTTACTTAGGATGATAACTATAAAGACACTACAGAAGGAGTGTCTAGTGCCATTAAATTCACTGTGCTAGCCACTGGCTACATGTATATTGCATAGTTTCGATTCCATTACTTTTAGTCCTTTCTTTTATTCATCAAACCATTTTAGCATTAAGAGCTATTTGGTTAATAATACATCATTTTTAAAATTCCTTCATTATATTTTTATTTTATTCCTTCATTCATACTTTAAACAAATTTAAGATTTGCATGTTTCCAAAGATGCATACACAATAATGTTCCTCACAGCATTATTTATAAAGCAAAAGTTGGAAAAAACCCAAATGTCTGTAAGCAGGAAATTGGTTATTAATTCAGGTAAATATTAAAAATGAAGTATGGATTCATATATTTTTTAACTCAGTTTTTCCACTAACTTTTCAAGGTACCCTATTTAAGATTCTGCCTGATTCATGAATCACTAATAAAAGCCAATTCGACATTTAAAAAAATAAAAATGATGTAGATCTGTAATTGATATAAAAAATTTTTTGCCATATAGTTATTTTTAAAAAGATTACAAAAGCAGTCTATAAATCAATCTCTTTTGTTACATGGTGTGCTTAAAAAAGAATCTAGGAAGAAATATGTCAAAATGTTAACAATAGTTTTCTCTGAGTGAATTTGCAGATGATCTTCACTTACAGCTTTCTGTCTCTGTGTATTGTCTGAGGTAGTTTAAAAAATTATTAATTATTGTTTTTATAGTAAGAATATAATTTTACATGTGGAAAATATCTTTCTTTTTAAAATCAAACTTGGAAAGTTTAAAAAAGCTGAAAGAAATTAAATGTTAATTGTTTAAGCACACAAAGCAATTTTTGCACAATCCTTGTCAGTTGTGTTATCAGCACTCTAATTTGTTTTTGAGATTTTTCCCCCTTCTGCCCTTACTGAAATACTATTAACGCCTTTCCCACCCCACAGCTTCCTATTCCCTCCGTCCTCCATTTGTCCCCCTACCTTCTTTGAGCTGAGACAACAGACCTGTCTTGTGCCCAGTGTGCACACACTGTGATGATACTGTTTGAGGTAGACCATTCATGTCACTCACTAGTCATTCTTCTGACGTTAAGCCTTACCTTAGTCAGTAAGTTAGCAAGTACAGATGGGTCTTTAGTGTGTTCCACTAATATAAGTTCTATTTAGTCAAACATCTGTCTTGAATGGTGTAGACTTAAGCTATGAGGATGCCCAGGTCTCATCTGAGGCTTTGCATTCTAGGCTGCCAGGAATTGGAACATGGTGATTTTTTCAAAGTTAGAAATGTGGATCGTACCTTACCTTGGCCCTTTAGACTCTAAGGTCATTACTTAGTCTCAACTGAAAGACCACATTTTTAAAAAGTATATTAGCTAGTTCCCAGGTATTTTGTGTCTACATTTGGTATTGCTCGTTTAAATCTTCTCGAACCCTTGCAGGGCTGGTTTAAATGGTAAAGCTTCAGAGTCAGCACTTGGGAGAGTGAAGGAGAGGAATCACAAAGAACAGACAGAGAAGCAGAAGTTCTGAACAAGCTCATACAGTCTATTAATTGTTTGTAATTTAAGTGAAGGTAGGAAACTGGCTTCTCCCCAGGATAATTATAACAAGCTTAGCACAATTCCAAGAAAACTTAAGCAAGGTCTTGATAGGCAGGCTTTCAAAGGCTTTGTTATCTATCATCCACCTCAGCAAACCAATTAAAGGGTGATGTTTCTATTGTACTTTTATTATAGAGAAGGTATGACTATGAATATCTTACTTAGGTTAGAGTCTCAGAATCTTTCCTAGTTAAAGGTGATATTAGACCACAGACACACTTCCATATTCTCTACTTTTACTATTATTATTATTATTATTATTATTATTATTATTATTATTATTATTATTATTACAACATTAGCTTTTGCTGATTTTTCCCATTTTCCCTTTTGGTTCCTTCTTCTCTATCTGCTCCAGTCCACCCAAATTCTAAATACCAAAAATGGGGGAAATAAAAATCAAGGAAAGAATGAAATTAGAGAACTAGAGATTCTGGGTCTCTAAGAACCTAAGTTACATTCTTTCTAATTGCTTTGACCTTTTTCATTAAATGTTGATCCTGTCAACATTCTGGGTCCAGAACCATCTCCCAAGCACCCTGTGTTTAAGAGTGTGGACTCTGGCTCTGAGCCCTGCTCCACCCCTTGCTCCACCTTGGACAAGTGACTTACCCCCTTATGCTCCAGTTTCCTCATGTGTCAGCACCCTCAGAGATCTACATCATCGATACGTTAAAGTTTGAAGTCATGGTAAATCATGGTGAGTGTTAGGTGTTACTAACATCCATCAGTATTTTTGTAACAATGAGCTATATAGATTGTGATACTCTCGAATATTGAGAATCTATTCCCTGTTTCATTTGATCTAAGAGCTGCTGCTTGATTTTGTTCAGCCAAGGCTCTGAACATTCCCTCAGAGCAGGTAATGAGGGCCATGCGTGCCACCACTGCCTGTGGTCTAAACCCCTGGGTAAAGGAACTGCCTAGGCCATGCAGTCCTCTTCCCAAGAGATCACATCATGGGCCCTAGAGTCCCCCTCTCTTAGGCCACTTGGATTTCTTCGGTGAAATATCTACTTGAAGACAAGGGGAGCAGGGTGAAAAGTGTGTGGTAGGAACAGGGAGAGAAATATGACAAGAAGTATCAATAAAACACAACTAGATGACTCTTCGGGCAGCTGGTGTGAAGTGTGATCTGTTAGCAGCAGGTCACTGGCTAAGCTGCAGTGATACTGGTCCTGCAGCTTCTCACCTCCTCCCCATCCACTCCTTGAAAAAGGGCCAGCTTTCGGGACACTCCTTCCCCAACTTAGAAGGTGGAAGAGATACTGGATCATTACTGACTCCTGACTCTGCTTCCCTTGCAGCCGACCCTCTGGTGGGCAGCATTGCCACACAGTACATGACCAACAGAGCAGAGCATGACCGGATGGCTAGACAGTGGACCAAGCGGTATGCCACATAGGGGCTTGCTGCCTGCCGCCCCCGCCGGATCTGTGCAAGCACATTCACCAAGTGCATCAATAGCCCTGCCCACCCCTCCAGACCTTGGTTCTTATTTTCCTATTTTTATTAAAATTTGAACTGTTGTGTAATGGTATGTCATCCATCCTCCCTTTCTTCCTTCTCCCTCCCTCTCCCCTCTTTTCTTTCTCTCTTTTCCTCTCTCTTTTTTCTCTTGTTTTATTCCCTTTTTGATTTCTGTTAACTTGAAAGAGTTGGGATTTTTTCTTTCCCACCTCAGTGTGGATGGGAACTTTTGTTTTCAGTGCAAACAATGTCGGATCTGTAATAGTAAGAGCTTTCTTACAAAGCTTTGTATTACTGTGTGGTTTTGTTTTTTGTTGTTTGTTTTATTTTGATTTTTTCCTTTTGTGTGAACTTCGGGAAAACACAAATTCAGAATTATATCTCGTTTCTACTTAAATGTAGTGCTTAGGGTTAATTTTTTGTACTGAAGTCTTTATTGGTGGGTGCATGCTACTGGGAACAAGTTTTTGTACAAAAGCTTCAATCAGAATCACTGTGCATTACTGAGACTCTGTTTATCACTAGCCTTCTGTCCCCCATGCAGAAGACTGTTGGATTGAACAAAATAATATGTATTTCGATTTACTTAAAGTGCTTGTAAATTTCTTAGGGACCTGCCACTTTTGACTGTGGATCAGTTGATGTACACTTGTATTATTAAAGCACTCAATAAATCACTGTGGCTGATAAATGCACTTCTGATAACCAAGTGTTTGCTTTGTATCCTGGTGACCTGCGTAGCCCTATATGCAGTGAGGCTTGTCTAATTCAATTACAGGTTCAAATGTATTTTTGATCTCAAACCTCTAATATTTCTTTGTAGTTGGAATTTCTCCAGCTGTCAGTAGCCTGATGATTTTATGGTTGTTTCAGTAGATCATTATCATTCTACATATTGGCTGGACATCCTTCCTGTTACAACCTTCCTACTTCAACAGTTAAAATATGTGACTCCAAAAATAGCCTCCTTGTGAAAGTGAAGTCTGAGCTGATCAGTGTGTTCAACCACTTTGAGTTTCTCTCTTCTTTTTCCTCCTAAAATTGTTATAGTGATTGCCCTGGAGCTTTGTTTTGTTTTATAATTTTAGTGGAAGAAGTAAACTCAACTATATATCAGTCATGATCAGCACATTCAGTGGTAAGAGTATGTCTGTCTGGCTTGATCTTCAGGCTCTTTTAATGTTCGGCTATAGGAGGCAGAGGAAACATGGAAGTGGTACAGTTTTTAAAACACACTAACTTGCTGACTGATATTCAGGGTTCTTGGTGTTACAAGGTAGTGGAGATTCTGCTAAGTGCAGGCACAGGTTTACCATACAGCCTGGTCTCATGTAAGGAACCATTAACATCTTTACTGCTAAATAGTAGGATTTACAAATGTAAGTCACTCACCTCTGAATATTTCAACATTGAAATATCTGATTCAAAAGATGCAGTTTTTGTTGTGTTTAAGTGATTAAAAAGAAAATATATTTAAAATGCTACTTTTAAACTCAAGGTTACCTTGGGATACTTTTTCTTTTTAATAATGATTTTACCATTAACAGCGGGCAGTAGTGGGATTTGGCCTGTGGGTTGTAGTTTGCCAAGCCCTGATAAAGACCATCGAGGGGGGGGTAGGTAAGCGTGTGTCATTGCTTTCTTTACCAGGAAAAATGAATTTAATATAATACAGGACTAATTTTTAGAAAATTACCCAGAATGTTTTATTGCCTACAGACTTCTCACCACAAGGTTTTTAGTTTTTGTTTTTGTTTTTGGTGGCTGGCTGGTATAGGGATCCAAATCCTTGACCCTAATGTTACAAGGCAGCTACCAGCTAACCAGCCAGCCTCAAGGTTTTTATTTTTATTTTAATACTTTAGATTTAAAAATTCAGCCCTTAAAGCATTGAACCACTGTAAAATGACATTTTATTAAACTGCTGGTTTGGGTTTTTTTTTTTTTTTTTTTTTACTTTTGAGTGATTAAACTAGACCCATGACACTAATACTGACTTTTATAGGTAATGTTTAAATTTAGTTTGCCTTTTTTCTTTTAAAATGTCAACTCCATTGGACACGTATTTTAAGTAATGCATCAAATATATTACACTCTACATTTCATATCTGCTTGTACAGATCATTTAAAAATGTGTGTTATAGAGGAGCCAAAGATTATAATAATTTTAATAGGAAATCCTGTCACAATCTGTGTTTGCTTTCCTGTGAGCCATCTTTAGATTTTATGCCAGTCTCTGATATGAGGCTATGAAACTTCTCTCCCCATCTTTATGAACTCTCAATACTTCGTGACAAACAAATGTACACTGCTCTCAAAATGTGAAAGCTAGAAAAACTCTACAGAGACCAGCAAACTCTTAATACACTGTTAAAGTGTAGATTCCAGATAACATGGTAATTTTACTTGAACTCTATAGTCACAGTAGGCAATACAATTCCAATAAGTTTTCAAAAATGCTTATAAAATAAAATTTAGAGTTTGGCATTCAGAAAGCTAGTTTTGTTAAAAAAATATATGAGGATAACATTTTTACAATTCAGAAATGATTTTGTACCCTAATATTACTAAACTTTCCATACCAATTATTGCTACTTATGGTATTTTGTAGCTGTGTTAAATAAAATGTTGGCAGATACTTGACTGAGGCAAGACTATTGGTCAGCAGGAAGGTAGTTTAAGATGATATTTATTGATCTTAAATCATTCGAAAGGTTGTGGCCTTAATTTGTCACCAAATTGCAAATAAATGCAACATTTTTCATCTGTTCTACAGAAATCCATTGAGGATAGCAATCACACAAGTAGTAGATCTTTCTTATTCCAAGGTTAGGAAATAAAGAGAGGTTCATCATGGAATACTGGTTTAGGAATTAGGAAGAAAGTAAATATTTATTCAGAATGTCCTGTGTACCAGGCCATAATAAGTTACCTAATAAAACCTCAGCCTAGCCGTTAAGAGTGTAGGTGGCCCTCAGTCACAGGAAGCCAGCAAGATGCGAAAGTGAGATTCTCATTCAAGCATGTGACCCCAGAGCCTTTGCTGTCTACTACAAAACCACATACACCTTTCTTCTAACTCCAAGGCAGTACTGTAAAAAACAAATTGGCATCATTTGGTGTTAGAGTCAAGGTGCTGTACAATTTCTAGGTGGTATGATTTTGCCATCTTCAATAAATGGGGAAAAAATGTCAAAGAAAGTGTGGGCCAGGAATTAGATGGGAGACCAAACAGCAGGAATCAGCTTTCTAATCTTAAAGGTGCTGTAGGAAGACTTGACCGGCAGTAAGGAAACATGTCACTTGGAAAACCCCTGAATTTCTCTGCATCTCACTACTGCAATAAAGGGTGTTAATTATTATCAGACATGGCAGTTTTTAAATGCCTCTGTCTTTAAAAAGAGAGATGTTCATACTTAATACTGAAAAGAGTTGAAATTGCACCAAAAAAAGCCCTACCAGAGTATCCTGACCTACTGTATTTTATTTCAAGGCAGCTTTATAATTCTGTCAAAATGTCCCTTCTGTACAGGGATCTCTGGTATGTGGACCGGGACTTCAAGCTGTAGGAGCACACCCTGTATTCTAAGCTAGTTCTAGAATTATCCTCAGTGGAAATGTGAAGCAGGCCTAGTTGTGTTCTGAACCATGGCCCTTTGTAAGCTACATCAACTCTGGAATCGGAGTTGAGAGAGCAGCTTGGCCTCTGAAAACCTCCCATGGTAGCCGTGCGTTTCCCCACATCCATGTTGCCCGCTGGGGAGCTGACTGGTTCCTTGAGACTGGAACCAGTCAGCTCTGCCAGGCACCTTTCACTCTCAGATTTCACCACGTGCACTGATAAGTGTGGGTTAGGGTTTGTAGTGAATGCTTATAATTTAAAGTTGCCTTGGCATCTATTTTGAATGCAGGTTTAGCTGTCTTGTGCCAGAGGCAGGGCTCAGCCACCCTTGTCACAGTTTCTAGTTCTGCACCACACCCAAATGCCTCAAACTGCTGGCCAGAGATAAGGACTCAGAGACACTGCACCCACCGAGCAGACTTGGCTCCCCACTTCCTTTAAAAGCACCATTCAAACATTTGCCCGTGAACTGAAAGTGACCCCCACCTGTTCCCCAATATATACAGCTAGTTGCCTACACCCTCTCCTCTCTCCCTGCCTTCCTCCCTCACCTCCGTGTGTTGGTCTCCAGGCTTGCCACAACTCACTGACACATCCTGACTGTTGTCATTGAAGCCATGCCTGCAATCCAACCCCTGCCTGTGAGGCTGTGGAAAGGGGAAGAGACCCACACAGATGGATTCACTGCTGGTGCTCTTTTGTCCAGGCCTCTGGTGGTACCAGCTAAATTAATAGTTTCATTCAAAACAGGGTTACCTTAAAACAGAAGGTCCCTCTCAAGAACCCCCTCAGTCCTGGACAAACCAGGACTGTTGGTCATGTGTGTTTTTGTGCTACTACACAGGACCAGTCTGGCCCATAGAATGTTTTACTTAAGGAACAGTGTTTTACTTGATGCACAGTGATCCCTTTAGAGGACACATGTGCTCTACAGTTTAAAAAATGCCCAGCCACTCAATAGTTTTCATGCCCAGCCCTCTTCATGCATTGCCTGGTTCTGAAGGCATGTGACAGATTTAAACCACCCGCAGCCTTCCCTTTCATCTCCAAACATGAATTAAGCTATGTGTGCCTTTCTATGAACGAATAGTCTAAAGCATAATCTGCTTTTTGAGAGGATTTTTAAAAAGGACATTCCCAGATTTTAAAACTCTCTTATGCATGGGACCCACAGAGGAAAATGGAGGAGATATTCTAAGGACTGATCTCTCTTGCTCGTTTATAAATCCACTTAGTCAAAGTGGAGGCCAACCCCAACTGCTCCAGAACTTGCAGTGTCAGGGTTTTCAGTTATGGTTACAGAATAAAATCTTACCCAATAACCTTGTCATCTTTTGGAGCCATGCAACCCCTAATCTCACTCTCATATCATCCCCTCCTCCCACTCAACATTGCCCTGTCATCCATCTTTAAAAATTAGATGGGAGGTCAGAGTTCAGGATGGCAATCATCCTGGCTTATAGGAAGTTTAGACCTCCTGAGAAATTCTGTCACGCTTTGCAACAGAAAAGTAACGTGCTTTCCAATTGGTGCCTCTGAGCACATTGAGAAACACCAAGCAAGATTCTTCCACTTAATCCACAGTGCAGGAACAGTAGAAAGGGGCCGTGAGAGGCCACGCTCCCGGTACAGCCTGCCCCCATTCTGAGATTGCCTAGAAGTACAGTGATAGCATTCGTTGTCCGTTCAGTCTCCAACCTGAAACTACACACAGCCAGATAAATAAATGAACATGTCCACCTCCACGAACTGGATAGTGTAGTCTCCCTCCCTTAGACCAAGAGTTGACTTTATGTTCACCACCAGACAGCTCCCAAGTTTTGGTTTAAAAATCAAAGCAGTTTATGGACAGTTATTAGAAACCTGTGATGAGAAACTCCAGAAGCTATTATTAATCCCCGAGAGACCCCTTTCACTTTAAGCAATATGTGAGGAAATTATTTTAAACTCAAGCATGACTGTGCGTTTTTATTTAAATGTAAAACATATGTCCTTACTAAATAATCTCCAAGTCCCCATGTGTTCTTAGTGATGTGTAATAAAATACCAGGATGTACTTGTTCGTCCAGATTT